TGCATTAAATCAAAAGAGGTCTTGAAATGTAGATTACTCATGATGCGGTTGCTCTATATGTACTTTTTAAGGCATTGTGTGTGTTGAGAGAATATCTATTGGCCATATACTGCTTACTCTTGGGCTCCGTACTGTAGCCCTTTCCCCAGTGTGTAGTCTGACTGACTTCAGCAGGACTATTCCCAACAGTAATGCCTGCCTACCTTAAAAAATTAGCTGGATAACCAGAACTACAAACAATGTGGTGACAGGAAGGATTAATGTAAAAAAGATCACAGTTACTTGAGAACCTGTATAAGAAAATAACCTCTTTCGCTACATACACTGCTCGCCGATTGCGGAACAGCCTATTCCAGCACTCATGCAATCAGACAAGATCTCAGGCAAATCAGGAAGAGGAAGAAAGAGAGAAACATCAGACCCCGTCACAGATGGACTGGTTTCCAAAGGAGAGTGGAAGTTTTCCAACTTTGCTGTGACTGCAAAAGATAGAACGTGTTGGTCGACAACCTCCACATCAGAAATGTCACTTCAAGAAGGACATTATACAATAAGACATTATCTAATAAGATGGATGCCCAAACATGTTAGTTTGTTGTTTTGAATCCCTACATTTAGTATGTACAAATTTGCCTTTCCTATAATAGCAGAACCCTTATGATGCTAATTTATCACAATCCAAGGCAACATGCTGTTGAGTAAGCCAAAAATTATGAAGGAATCCATGCCCCAGTGAGTATTTAAAATGATTATTTCCATTCATTATGGGTGTAAAAGGTACATCCCCTCTGACCCCTTTGCAGCCTGGCATGGCACTGCACCGGAGGGATAGCTCAGTGGTTTGAGCATTGGCCTGCTAAACCCAGGATAGTGAATTCAATCCTTGAGGGGGCCATTTAGGGAATTGGGGTAAAAATCTGTCTGGGGATTGGTCCTGCTTTGAGCAGGGGGTTGGACGAGATGACCTCTTGAGGTCCCTTCTAATCCTGATATTCTATGAAGTGTGCTCCACTTCAGTTTCTTCCAACTGGGCATCAATGCATTCACTTTAAAAGGATCTGGGTGATGAGAAGCCAAAACGAACAAGCAGTAATTCTCAGGGAAGGAGCAAGTGTAACAAAAGTTTATATAACCCTCGCCGTAGCATCCCGGTTCAGAGATCCTCAACTTAAAGTCTACAAAACAAAGTCACTGAGTCTGATCAGGCTAGTCTCCTGGGCCCTGAGAGAACTCACTACAACTGAACACCATTTAATCCATTTAAGTAGCCCGGTGCCTCCTTGATTACCTCAGGCTGTCTTGGTTCTTGGCACCAGCCTGGCCATTAAAGGGGTAGTACACATCTTTACAATGGGCCTGATCCTGAAAAAAATCTCTAGTCAGGTTACTGAGGTCTACTCTATTACTCACTCAAGCAATCCCACAGATTTCACTGATACCTCTCACCCCAGTTGCAGGATCAGGCCCCAGGGACCAATCCTGAGAGCTGCTGAATGCTCTCAACTCCCACTGAAGTCAATGGAAGGTGAGAATGCTCAGCCACTTCACATTTCATTTCAAGGCAAAATGAAGAGCGATGATGAGGACCTACGTATGCAGATAAATACCACACTCAATTGCACCCATGGAATCTGACTGGTTTACGGGGGGTGGGGGGGTTGCCCTATTGTAGCAAAGGGCAGAATTTTGCCCATGAAGTAAAAAAGCATGAAACCTTTAAGCAATATCAACTACCTGTTTTTTCTCTCTGTTAGCAAAATACTTTCTAAATATAGGTAATTACCCACCAGTGTAACCATTCTTCAAACCTGTGTATGTTTCTATTTCCTTATTGGAAAATGTAAACCAGAAATGTTTTGTTTTTAGTTAAAGAACGTTATAGATGAGGGTTTGGGGTTTTTTTGGCGGGGAGGGGGCTGGATTTGTTTTTTCGCCATAATTATTTTCGGGTACAAACCAACACACTGCAAAATAACCACCAGCAACCTGGGATCTTGTGTCTGTGGTTTGTAGACAATAGACAAGAAAAATATCATGCAGATGGGGACTCTCCGTCTATGAAATCTTGCCAGGGAGCAAGGAAATCTGCTGTACAGTACATGGTTTCCTGCAGTTTCTCGCATTGAGTGATCTGCAAAACCTGTCAGAAAGCTCTGCACTTTGTTACTCTCCCCATTGAGATATATGTATAGGGCTTTGGTTCACATCCAGGTCTGAGTGCGAATACACCTGAAAAATACATTCTCTTCAAAATTTTGGCAAACAAAACCTGAATTCGCCCTGGTACTCAAATACAAATCATCTCCACATATGGAAATGAATATGCTGCAGAAAGGCAATATTAGCATAAACATTCGCCCAGCAGTCCTGACCTACAAATGGCACCAAACTTAGGAGTAAATCCTATAAATAGATCCACATGGATGTGATTTAGCCCCTCGTTTGACTTGGCAGCCTCAAAGTGCGGGATCACTTCTTCTCCTACAGTTCAAATCCCCTTCCAAATCAAAGATCTGTGGAGCATCTTGAACTGCCACGTTGGCTCTGCCTAGCATCCATAGTGCCTGAAAGTCATGAACTTATGATGGTTTGGGCTTCACAGGCTCAACCCGAATCTTCCATAAGGGAAGCTAATACCATCTCCTTTTCATAGCTTGGTTTTCACCATTTTTCGCACCATCCATTATCTGACAGGCCTCTGAAACCATCCAGAGGCAAGTCCACTACAACTTGCCTTATTTTTTCCAGCTGATGGTGGGTGAAACCTGGGCCTGTGGCTCTTTAGAAATTGTCTAGACAAACACTGAATGGTACAGAACTGGATAAATACAAGATAAAAACGGAGATGGTTTAGTGGACGGGTACCCTGAGAGGTAGGAGGACACAACTTTCTGGACAACACATAAGATTCAGTAATGAAATGAAACTCCCTTGGACAGCCATTTAGAGATATTTGTTTGTTTTGGTGCAAGAGGGTGGCACTCATTGTTTTTGGATAAACAGGGACCATAAGCCAGCTGCTTAGAAAGTGTAAACTGTAGTGTCTCCATGGAAGCTGATTGTGATTGGCCTATTTATATTTGAATGATTCATATTCAATACAAATTGGGTCTCAAACAAAAAATGAGCCTCTTTGTCCTTGGCCTATATATGTTTGTGTCTTGGAGAAATTACTCAGTGTTAACGTACAACACACTTTATATAACGTGATTGAAAAATCAATACAATATAGCACTGGAGTCAGTGAATAAGGATTGATATTTTATACATAGTAAAGTATTCAAAATGCACTGCTTTCCGCCAATATCTAAAACAGGGTTAAATATTATTAACGACTATGAAAAAATCACAAATAAAGTAAAGATCTTTACATAAGGCCCTTATTTATCTTGGGAGGAGTGGGATTAGGATGAAAGGGTTACTGACATCCATAACATTTTTATCTAATCCAGGATCATCACTTGAATAATTTTTAGGTGTTTGGGGTTCTAATATTATTAAATATCTACTACCCTCCAAATACATGTTTGTACTGTAGCGATCCTGAGAAAAATGCTATTATAGGAAAGGCAAATTTGTACATACTAAATGTAGGGATTCAAAACAGCAAACTAACATGTTTGGGCATCCATCTTATTATATAATGTCTCGCAGCATGTAAATCAATGAGAGTTTTGCCATTGTCGTCAACTGGCACTGGATCAAGCCCATACTAGATTAAATACCACTCTTAATTAAGTTAATCAGAGCTTTGCCACTGACTTAATGGCAGCGGAAGCAAGATCATGCTGTCTTTACTCTAGGGACTGATCACGTTCCAACCAAAAGCAATGACCAAACTCCCTCCTGACTTTAGTGCGTCCAGCCCTTACAATTACAGAACCAATTTCTGCGCTCATGCTCACCAAGGTAAATCTGGAGAAACTCCAGTAATGTCAGCGGAGATGCACTACATTTACACTAGTGTATCTGTGAAAAGATTTTATCCCTGAAAGTTGCCTTTGTATTTTTATTTTTCAGCACAGTATCAGTCACTGCAAAATGTGTTTAGTAAATTTGCATTGCAGTTAAACATACAGTACAGCCAATGCAAGGCATACAAACGATACACCAAGTTAACGAGCCTCTATTTTTAGAAAACAAATGTATGTAGCTATATTATTAATAACACCGTCAAAACTACAAATGAAATAATTTTCAAAAACTACTTTAGGGCTTAAGCTTCAAGATATTATTCAGCAGGAACTCCCATTGACTGCATGACTAGACCTATACTTTTCACCACTAGTGCTTTTGGGTCACTTTTTAGGGTTCACTGCTCTTGCGCAATGAAAAAAAAATCAGCATTAAGTCCTGATTTCTTAGTCTGTATCTCACTCTGATTCCCATATATGGCTACCATGGCTGCACGTTTAATCTAGGACCGCAGGGGAATGTTTAATCTAGTTGCACATGAAGATTTTTATTAAGATTTGTAAAACATTTTTAATACAAAATCTAAATTTGGAGCCTAAACTACCTGATGGTCTCTTCTTGACTTTCAGCTACAAATGCTTCTAAGCTATAATAAAGGCACGTGGATGGATATTTGTAGGGAATTCATTAAACATAAATTAATTTTGATCCTTTGCAAAATTGTCTTATACAAACTGATTAATGAGAGGGGATCAGGGTCAAGACAAATGTCCTTGACATTGTATGACTGTACTGCCAGGCATTTCAATGTGGAAGATATCAGAAACTGACTAGAGGCTACGTTCTGCTCATGTTACTAATGCAAACAGTCCCATTTGACTTCAGTGAGACTATTTGGGTGAGTGAGGCAAGTAGATTTGATTTAAACACTGGATAGTGGGATAAACTTTCATACATATTTTAAAATATTTGCCCTAATATCTATGAATAAAAAATAATGTCTAATTACTTTACAGTTTTTCTCTCTTCTGAAAACAAACTCAAAGAGAATGTTATAGACATTTAACAAAGTCTAGTTTCAGAAATATGATTGTACCAAACAATTTTATTAATATTTCCATACAAATCTTTTAAATAAATTCTGCCTAATATTTTGATGTTGTTGAAAGCAAACAAAGGTCACTGAAACATTTTTTCTGAGTTTTACATTATACTGGATATTATAAGTTAACTCTATTTTCTTTATAAACTAATCTAAAAATAGTAATGCTCAAGGCAGGGTAAAAACAATACATTTTGCTTTCTTTACTTTATTTCAAAATAGAGCGATTATCAATACATTCTTGTTATATTTCCTTCCCAACTCTTTGGATGCAAAATAAAATGAAATAAAACAAAAAATAAAAATAAAATAAATATCCCACTGTGCTCATTTCATACAATAGCAATGTACAAATCATGCAAAAAATATTATAGATAGTATACCACCATCAATTTCTAGATGTGTTTATTAACTCTGAGACATTTGTTAACATTAGTCACAAGGCCATGCCTTTTATAATGTATACCGTTATGGCTTTAAAAATTACCTTTTGGATTATCTTTTGATATATTTACTCTCAGTCTGGAAAACTAAATGCAAAATGTCAACTGATGTCTGGACTCAAATCACTGCATTATAATGACTGTTTTCTGAGAAAATTGCACAAAGTTTTTCTCTTTCAAAGAAATGATTACACTTTATTGATTTCGTTAAAAATGTAAACTTGATTTATAATACAATGAACACAATAAATTATGTTAACACCTTCACTGCTTTAGTGCTGCACGTATGTCATTGCAGACACTGTAACAATATGGCCACTTAAATCAATATAATGCAAAGGCTGGCCTGGTCTGTCTAGCCACAAGGAAGCGTGCATTTCCTGGACAGACTAGCATTAGATTGGAATGACCATTCCACTAAACTGTTATCCAGACACATACACTGTCCCTTAACACTGGAGGAAGTAAACTAACATTCAGGTTGTCATTTAAATCAACAGCATCAAAGAAATATAGAGGTTTGCCCACCTTTGCAAATTTTTTTTTTTTTACTCACACTGCTATGCCTAGGTATTGCACCACGTATGTCAAACACTAGTGAGAGACCTACATAATATGCCCAGACTGAGCAACCCTTATTGACACTGGTGAGTATACATTCCATTGACCCTGTTGAATTCAGTCAGACAACTCATGGGAGCAAAGTGATCACCACCATGAATAAGGGTTCCACAGCAGGGACGAACTATGTAATACACAACAATGCTCCTCCACCTGCTCCCATTTAAGTCAATGCCAATGCTGCCATGCATTTAGGCCCTGATCCAGCAACACGCTAAAGCCTGTGCTCACTTTTAAACTCGTGAGTACTCTCATTGCACATGATTAAAGTTGGGCATGTGATTAAATGCTTGGCTGGAGGGGGACCTAAAAGAGTTGCCAGATCTGTCCAATGTGGGCATAATGGCAAAGTTCTTCTTCTCTTAAACAGTCAATGGGAGATTTCCCCAGGCGGAAAAGGGGAAGACCGGACCTAATTAATGTAGTTGAGGGAGGTATATCAAACTTCACTGTTGTTCTGTTAACTCTGATCAATATCAACCACAAGTATATCACCTTTAACAACGTAGCGTTTATTTATTAAATAGTTGTGTATTCTTTTTAATGCACCTCTCGCAACAGAAGGATATGAGACAGAGGCTCTGATGAGGCTTGAAGTGTGTCAAACGCTCTCTGCCTTGGTAAATCTCAGTGACCCTTGACGCAGTCTCAAAGCTGTGCAGTACTGAGTGGAAGGCAGCAACCCATTATCCTCATTGCTGATGGTGCCTTTATGGTCTAGCATTTCAGTACATCGTTAAGATTCCTTAATCCATAGGCCCTTGACACAATAAACTAAAACACTTTCCTCAGAGCCTGTGCCGTGATCTGGGTCAACAGGCAATTAGGAATCTTTTAGGCCAGGAATACATGCATGCCTAGTAAACATATCCAGAAAATCCCTCTGACATTTTGGATGAAATAAGTTAGTGCGCATGTGTAATAGCAGCTTTTTCAAGATGAACCACTCCATTGTTTATTTATTTTAAAAACATCTAAAGTCCCTCAAACATTTTGTACCATGGGGAAATTAGAAAAAAAAAAACCCTTTTAGAAATTACAAGTAGAAAATCTCTCTTTCTTCTCTCTCTCTCTTTAAAACAAAGAAGCGCTGATGTTTTTAAAAAACTTTGTTAAAAAAATATTCCAGGCGTTATGCCAAGGCTCATCCCAGAATAAAATTTTACAGCAGTGTTATAAAGCCCTGAAATTAGAGGTTTAGACTGGAAAATGCTGACGCAGCCTTAACCATAGTAGTGCTATCGGGCTTTGTTGTAATAGCTGCCACTTGGAATTCATGAAAACATTAATATTTATTTTCTATTGCAACTTGATAGACTTATGTATTGATTTTAAAAGGCATGGGGGGGGAAAGGAGAATTTATGGCAGCAAAACAGATTAAGGTCCTGATACAAAGTCCATTGACATCAGTGGAGAAGCCCCTATTGTCTCGAATGGGCTGTAAATCAGGTAGATTTTCTGTATGATGCTTTACCAATACATGCCTACTGTGATCTTAAGTTACCATTTCCCAGTGAGAAAAAGGGGGTGTTTTCTATCTTGACCATTTGTTGCTATCAATTGAGATTCAGCTTTCACAAAGGCAAGTTTCTATTCTTTATAGATGTGGACTACAAAATACTCTGAACTAAACCAAGACCATTAAATACATTTTACAATGTGGCTTTGATAGACACATGATTGCCATATGGTTTCCTGTTCTGATTCATTATCTGACTGACAGCAGTCAAATAGATAACAGGGACCAAAAAAATGACGCATATACAATTAAACTATTACCCTTATTCATTAATGCCTGTAAATACTTGTAGTGAACACTATTTAGATTAAGCTGCAGAACCCTGAAAAGCAAGACAACCGATGGCAAATAATTGCCTGAGACACAATACTAAAAAAACTAATGAATCTATTTTAAAATGCACCATTGGTAACAAATCTGAAATAAGATAATAATATACTAATTTCACAAGAATAGTACAGAACATTTTTTTTATTATTATCATTATTATTATTATTATTATTATACCTGATCATGGGATCCTGGATAATTCTATACAATTTGTCACCAGTTTTTGTTTGGTATATTGTTCTGTTTTTAATTTATACTGAATTATTAATGCATTGTGATCAGGAAAACAAGTCAGGCATATTAAATACATATTACGGAGTACATATTTTCCTATTTAGTATACAAAGTATTTCATAAATATGAATTATCTTACAAAAATAATTTCTGCTACGCTCACACAGTAAGCACTTTGAAAAGTTTGGTCAACCTTTTGGGGTTGTAGGAGTTTCACATAACTGAGAAGGAACTCTAGTCTTAATTGGATTTGATTCTTACATAAGATTCTGCATGAACATCAAGTATTTTCTTCATATCACTACAAATGCTGCAGAAGTCAGGTTGCAGTTTTTTTCTTTTCTTTTTTTTTAATTTTATGTATAGACAGGTCTACTTCAAGGGTCAAATTTATTTTATAGGTATGTTATGCATGGTATATTTTAAACAAATATTTGCACAATTTAACATTATAAATCCAGTGGTTTCAAGATGCAGGCCATAAATGTAACCGATTTACACATACTATTGAATGTTCTCTCTTTGCATGCTTTTTACTTTTCAGATAATCTTTAAACAGTGCCGTTACAACACCACAAATCAAAGGATTACTCCAGTTCCACCAACTTAATCCACGTGCAAGATGAAGGACCCAGCTGAGGTACAAACACTGGTACCAGTTTTCTTGTGTTTGCTCTTACAAATCACAAGGAGACAAAGGTTTTGCATTTAAGGTACAAAACATATATGCCTTTTGAGGTTAAATTCAGTGTAATATGTGTCTAAAGCATCCCTTTGGCAATAGAGTTTGCAGTATCCCTACAGGATTCCAGAGGGTATCAGCTTTATGTAGTAAAATCTATTAAGGAAATTCTCCTCTACTTGACAAATCATATGCAGCTACAGACAGATACCCTTGGATATACCTGCCTCTATGCCTACCAATATAATATAGTATTCGGAAGTTAAAAGTCAACAAAAGGCACTTTCATCATTAAATAAATGTCCTCTGTAAGAAATAAGATTGCATGACCTATATTTTATTCAAAGCTGTTTGTTCTTCAAGGACTTGTAGGTAGTCAGGTGAACCTTGAAGTTTAGCTTTCAGTTCAAAATATTCACTCTTTCTTTGCTCTACTACAATTTTACTATGATTACCACCTATTAATGACTTCTTGATTTTTTTGTCTTGTTGTTTCTCTGGATAACGTATTTCAAAGCCACTGACCCCTATGCTGTTGTATTCTTTTTTACTTTCAAGAAAATTCTGAATAAATACATTGGAATCCCTCCCAGGAAACAACTCATCCAGTTCATCAATTGTGCTCAGTCTTTTTCTGGTATCCACATGCAATAAATCCTTTTCCTTGTCGGTAATATTTCTCAGAATGATTTTTTGCCCTTGTGGATCAGCAAACGTGAAGCCTGTTTCGGATTCTTTTAAGCCACAAGTGTGACTTTTGCTCATCTGCTCAATGGTTTGAGGAATGAAGGCCTCTGCACCTAGTCCATCCTTTTTGTTTGATTTGTGGTCATGCTTTCTTAGCTGCAGTTGCATGGAACTGCACTCTTGGTTCCCAATTCCTTCGTGCTTTACTGTTGGTTTCTTGTTGCGCCGAAGCACAAAGACAAGAAGGCAAAAAGCAACAAACACTGTTAAAATAAGCACAACTAGTATGCTTAAGATTAGGATGGACAATGGAACTGGGCCACCAGGAGGACTTCGAATTGGACCCAACGGTGTAGTAAAAGTGACAGCAGGCACAGGACTAGTGAACAGAGCAGATGGCTTGTTTAAAAGTTTAGGACATAAGATCTCATTTTTGAGAGACTTCAGTTCAATGTTAGCAAACTGAACAGGTGTTTCACATTTTAATTCCTTCACCACAATACCTTCATTTAGTTTTTCCAGCCATAGTTTTAAAGCAACTAAATCACACGTGCAGTCCCACGGATTACCTTCCAAATCAATTTGTGTAAGAGATTTTAGCTGATCAAGAACGCCACTTACAGGTAGATACATGAAATGATTGTTCCTCAGATTCAGTCTAGCCAGTGGAGCACCAGCAAAAATGTAAGCCGGCAGACTTCTAAGAAGATTGTTGTTCAAGTAGAGCAACTGCAAATTTGGCATTAAGTCAAAGGTGCTGGCTAAAATTTCTTTGATAATGTTGTATTCCAAATACAGATATTGCAAATTATGGAGGCCAGCAAACATTTCTGGACTCAGCCGCTCTATCTGATTGCCATTAAGATACAATCTCCGTAAATTTGTAAGGTTGCGGAAAACCGCCCCTTTGATTACTGCAATCTGATTGCTGCCTAAATGTAGTAAATCCAGCCCTTCAAAGTCAATGAAATCTGAGGTGTCCACATCCTTAATATAATTGCCATTTACATGCAGTTTCTTGGCATTGAAAGGTTTTGGTACGAGTTCAGCCAATGATTCTATATTTCTTTCTTGGCAGTTTACACTTAATCCCAAATCAGAAGGATGAGTTTTGCAGACACACGAGCTTGGGCAAGGAGTTAGAGGAGGTACCCTGGTCTGGTAAGACACAATTTGACTGAGATTGCGATTAGAGAGCGCTTTTCCTGCTACTATCCCCGAGATCTTGGAAGGATTTGTAGTTTTCGGAGGCTTGGTGACTAACCTGTGCATTGACGTTTGCGTAGTGTGGCCATTAGGCGTGCTGTAACCAGGCTCCAACTGGGATGGAGGCAGAATGCGCACATCAAAATCACTCCCAGTCCCCATGGAGCATAATTCTTGTTTATTGGTTTCCTTTAAAAGCCTTCCATACAAGTCACTGGGCGTTTCACAGATAGCTTCTCCAATGTAAATGTTATAGGGCATATTCTCCAGCCAGGCTTTCAAAGGCAACAAATCACAGGTACAATTCCAAGGGTTATCTTCCAGCTGCAGTTCGACAACTCGACCAATGTGTTCCAGAACTCCAATGTAGGGAAGCTTCTGTATTCGATTCCCTCGTATATCCAGATGGGTTAGAGAAGCGAATCGAAAAATATTATCGGGCAGGAATGAAATCAGATTGTCATTAAGGATGAGGACTTTCAGCTTGTGAAGCTTATTGAAGGCTCCCCGTTCAATATACTTGATTAAATTGTAGTCAGCTTGGAGATACTCCAAGTTCTCTATGCCAAGGAAAGTGTCAGCTCGGAGAATCTTTAATTCATTGTTGTTCAAGTGCAACTGTTTTAATGCACTGAGCCCAAGGAATGCTCCTCCCTCAATGTTCTGCAATTTATTGTTACCCAGTTGCAGGGACACTGCATGTGTAAAATTAAGAAATGTATTTGGATATAGAATAATCAGTAGGTTGTTCTGAAAATTAAGATGGTAAAAATTAGACCAAGGTGGTTTGAGCTGATTTGGTCGGTAGACTGCAACCTTCTCGCAATTGACATACAGTACATTCTCAACTGACACACACGAGCAAACATTGCAAATTTCCACTGAGATGTCAGGATCTGCATTTGTAGAAGAAACTGGGGTTGACAAAACCAGAACGAGCCACAGCAACATCTTCTTGTGATCAGCAAGCAACCTTATGCTCCTGAATAAAGATACAGAATCTAAAGAAGAAAGAAAGAAAAAAAGAAAAGAAAAGAAAATATTTTTTTCAGTTGTCATTATTCCAAAAAGTCATTTGGGTTAATATTGTACTGTATAAGCTACTGTACCTGACTAGTATTACAGATAAAGTATAAACACTAAATATAAAGTACAATGAAAGGTTGTTTTTTTAACAACCCCACAAAATAATTACAGATATAGAATGTGAACCTGTGTGGACACACACACAAATATATGTGGGTCTATAACATATCTCCTGTACATGACAAACATGCATAACTAACAAAGTAAAATAAACAAAGCAGGTTTAAATTTTTACTCATATGAACTATCCACAATTCTGTTACTGTACATATATTGCCATATATATCAAGGATGTTAAACACACTTTGATGTTAGGTATGTTACACACATGTGGGTTGAGATAACACAATGGATAAAATAAAGATGTGGGGGGAAGAGCAGTGCCTCTATACAAGGTTATAGCTGTAGCTACATATATAACTATCACTAGACAGAGAGTGAGCGAACACACACAGAAATATCACTACTGTGCTTATTAAACGTATTGCAAGTAACATACTCCAAAGCGGTCAGAGAGAGACAATGCATTATCCATAAATCAGGATGATCTGCTATATGTTAACGATGGAGGGAGGTGTCAGGACCATCTACAGCCATGCAGTCCCATTCCCAATAACAATACCCTGATTGGCAGTGCAAAACAAAGTCGTAATCCGCCAGCGTGACATCACCAAAACCTTATAGCAACTTTTATGGAAGAAACTGATCTCACGTGCCCTGGTCCCTGACATGAAGGTAGCTTGCAAGAGCCCCTCTCCTATGGCCAGGCCATGCTTAGCTGCCATTTTTCACTTGGAGATCGGGAGCCACTGTCTTTTCTCGGGGTTAGGGGCTGGTGGGGATTTTTTCAGTCAGCTCTAGCGGAGTCCCCACGGTTGGGAGGAAGCGAGCTGGGACGGCAGGGAGCCACTGCATGGGAAGGGGAAGCAGGAAGGGAAGGCAGAGGAGGGCCGAGGGGAGACAGACAGGAGGGCAGAAGGACACGAGGGAGGCGGGTGCAGGGACAGAGGGGAAGGTAGGAAGGAAGAGGGAGGTGGGAAGAAGGGGGCAGGGAATTAGGAGGGCGCTGGGGCAGGCGGGGGGGGGGTGGGAATCCAGCGGACAGAGCCGATCCCCACGTGCTGTCGCTTTCCGAAGCCTTCCCACGGCCGCCCCCCAGCCCGCGGCTGGTCCGCAGCGCCCGGTCCATGCGGGTCTCCGCCCCCGCCCGCGCTGGTACCCCGGGCTCCCCCCAGCAGCGAGCCCCGGGCGGTACCTACGCCGAAGGAGGGGGGGGGGGGCGATTCCGCAATGTTTTGCCGCAACACGGTGGCCGCAGCCGAGCGGCTCGGCTGGTGCCGGCTCCAGCGCCCGGTCGTGGGCGCCCTGTCCCCGCGGCTGCAGGCTGGGGGGGAGGGACGGGGGGAGGGGAGCGCGGCTCCCCCCCAGAGCCAGCCCCCTTTTGCAACAATGCACAATCACCCCCTCAGGGCACCTTTGCGAAGTCCCCTTCCCCCGCGGCCCCATGCCAGCCCCGCTCCGCGGACCGGCAGCCCCGCGGGGAAGCCGGCGGAAAAGCCGGGCAGCGAGCGAGCGAGCGCCGGGGAACTTGGTGCCATTGACCCCGGGGCTCCGGGAAGCCGGCGGCGGCTTGCCGGGAGAGGCGATCGGGCCGGGGTCAGGCTGCCGGAGGAAGCCCTCAGCCGGCTCCCCCAGTGGGAAGCCTCCGAAATAAATCCAATAAAAGCCACGCACCGAAAAACCAAATCCCTGCTCGCCCCCGGAGCCACGTTGTGTCCGGCGGCGGATCGCCCAGCCAGGGCGGAGAGGCACCTTCCTGCCTTACCTTTGCCATCCGGCTCCATCTCCGGCTGCGCCGCTATCTGCTCTGCAGTTTCTGCGATTGTCTCTACGTGATCTGGACTTCTGCTGCTCCGCGCACACACACACACACACACACACACAGGGAGGGAGACACACACACGAGCAACACAGGGAGAGACACACACAGTGAGGTCCCCCCCCAACACACACACACACACAGCGGTTATTACCCCTACAGCCCCAAAGCAACGGAAATACACTCAGTGACACAGACTAGCTCTATAGACACACACACACACACAGTCGCACGCGCACACACATTACCAACACACACACACACACACACACACAGAGATTTCCCCTTCCACACAGCCACTGAGATTTCCCCCTCCACACATATAGAATCATCACACACACCCAGAGAGAGCTCTCACCCATCCCTTACATGCAGAAAGACACACACACACACACACACACGCTGCTCAGAGGGACGGACAAGCCAGAGGAAACGAAGGAGAGCGAGACGTGGATCTAAGAGCCCAATGTGCCCCAGAACACGAACGACTCAAGCCAACAAACAAACCAACAAACAAATGCATAGCTGCTCCCCCCTCCCCGCTCCCCCTCTTGGGCTGGGATGGCAGGATACTGCACCTTTCGCTCAGAGATGCCCCCCTCGCAGACCGAGGAGATGGAGAAAACAGCGCTCAGAGTAAAACAAATACAGCGACCCTTAACGGTGCCGAGTTTCCAGGCAGCATCATTCCACCTCCCCCTGCCTGCCCGTGCTGCAAGGGGCTGGGGGGTGTTCGCTACAAGTGAAGCCACCTGCCCAGGTATGGCTGGGGCTTCGGGTGGCCCCTGCTGTCCTGTGTGGGCTATTCTGCATCTCCAAGCTAGCCACAAAGTGGGCATCACTCCAGCTCAACACCAACTAGCATCGCATTTTGCAAAGGAGCAAATAAAATAGACAATAGACAAAGTCTCCCCCCTGCATCTTCTCTGACCATTTAATCTCGCTCCCCCTTTAAACAACCTAGAGGTTGAAATTGGGTGGGCAGCAATGGTAAGAGTGGATGTGAAGACAGTTATGAAACCACATTGCTTTAAGGAAACACCAGCCTACCCTTTCCTGAGACAACACAGATATTTGGGTAGCTCATTCTTTGTAGTTGGGTGAAATTCTTCCTCTGCCTAGGTAACAGCTGCAGCATGATGAAAATAGCTTCCCTCTGATGCTATGCACTTGTGCAAATCAGATTCTGCTAATTACGAACTCCCATTTACTTTACATTTTATCATATCATTTAAAGTGGTAATGAATACCACAAACAATGTGACACAACTCTCCAAGGCAGAGGAATCAGTTCACCAAATGTGATCTTATGAAGGGAGTTGAACTGTTTTTCCTTTGCTACAAATGTTAACATGATTCAGTAGGAGAGAGAAAACTGTATATGTAAATATTGCACCCATTCCAGGTGTGAGTGAGCATTCTGCATGGCAAAAATCAGAGGTTTTAAGTGAGCAACAGAATTTCTTCATTTATGGAAATGAAATAAACAGTATGCGCTGAAGGCTGACTGTATCTAATTGAAACAATTGTAGAATGTTATTTTGCATTAAGCGGATAGCTTGATACCTGAACACAAATGCAGCTGACATCAGTGATTTGCATATCACAACAGATATGAAGTAATCTGTGATTAATATTCACCCAATTAAAAACTGAAGTCTTTCAAATGAAAACGCCTTTAATTATTGAACCATTAACAAAGCACTATGCTCATAAAAGGGAATACATGTATATAAGAGGTCCAATTCACAAGTGGATGTGCATAGTTTGGCCTGAATTCCCCAAACTCTTTCTTCAAATACATTTTCAAGATGGGGAACTCAGGACTGCAACAGAATGCAGTCAATAAAACAAGTTAATACCAGATTGAAAAAGCTACCTAAAGTAGCTACATATACAGAAGTATAGGTGTGAGGATCAAGGTGCTGGTTTTGTTTTATCTATCATTTTAAACCAGATGTTAGACTAATTTGTTGCTTCTTTAATAGGTCAAATTGAATTAGGCATTTTTAGTATGCCACTACTCCACTGCCATTCAAATAACTGGCTAGACACCTAAAGAAAACTTCAGACCCATACAACAAAGAAGCAAGCTTCAAACTGTTAAAGCATGAAATGAATAAGCATCTAACTGAAGGGAATTAAAAAAAGCAACACAGACTTCATAGCTAAATTACTTTTATTGTTTGCATTATAAACTGCTATTGACAGTGGTTTATATTGATGCTATTGTAAATCATGTCAGAACAAAACTTAATATGCAATACGAATTTGTTGTTAGAGAAGGATTTAATATATTTTAGCACTTTTTTTTTACTGTGTAGCAAAAGAAAGGAGAAAAGAAAGCTCAAAATCTTTTTAAAGTGATTTCTGAGCTATCACTAAACTATATCATGTCAGATCTGTTGAGACTTATTCCAACATTTATATACAAAGAATTGTACCTTTTGGTATTAAAAAAACCCATAAGAAACCAGTTCTAATTTTGAAAAGTAAAACCAGAGCATGAATTCAAGATCAAGATCTAAGACAGTGGCAAACTTAAGATATAATTTGCATAAAATGGTTCCAACTTATGCTGGGTCATATTTTCCCTTGAGGTATGTGCAGAATTTCTATTGTCATCAATGGAAATTCTCCATACAGATTGATGGTAGACCATGGCCTATAGATAGAAGAGAGAGGAAGGACAACTTGGGTTATCTGGTCTGAATCGCTGCACTTTACAAGATAACTCTGGACCAGCGATCATTCCCATTATTGTCTTGTCTACCCTGTTCTCAGATATCTGCACTGATGGTACTTGTATACCACCTCTAGTTAATTTTTTCCCCTCTACTCAAGAGTGTCTTTACTGGTAAGAATTTTCTGGCAATGGCCAGGATAAACGTTTCCTTTTTTTAAGTTTAGCATCAGAACCCATTTTAACAGCTAGAATAGTAAAAACCGGTCACGGAAAAGAGAGAGAGGTGATCAAACAGGGAAATGTGAGATATTCTACTCTATGTACTTGGAAATGCATACAGGGTGGCATTCATCAATGGTGCAATTACCATATCAACAGATGTCATTACTGCATCTAAATACGAGTTCCTGGGATCAGAAGCTGATTCATTGTTTTTGGCTAAGGCAACTTGTCTCAAATCTCAGCAAAAATCATATAGAAGTTTATGTTGATTTCATTTAGGTCATCACAAATGTCCATAATCTCTCACCCACCCATATTTAGAGGTAGGTAGAAATAGAGGAAATAGACATGCAAGACTTTATGGGCATTCAAAATCTGCTATCAGAAAAGCACTCCTATAACAAAGTCCTCTAAATGCGGAGGCCTGTGGAAATGCTGAATCCAACATTCATGGCAAGATCATGTGTCAAGGACCCTTGAGCGCCTGATCCTGCTTCCCACACACAATGCTCATTGAAGTCAACGTGAGCTCTGTGCGGAGGGTTTTTTGCAGAATGGGGTCTTGAGAGAGAACTGGAGGAAAGGGTGATCTGAGCACCCTAGACTTCTTTTTCTTGGAGATGTTCTATTTAATTTGTAAATGTGGGGTACTCTGGGCGTTGTGCTGTAGTAAGACACAACTACACAAGGGGGGGGTGTTTCTATGCCTCTGTCTCTCTGTGTGTACACAGAGCTTTGAAATCAGAGCCTGCAACAAGGATTGTGACTATCTTTACCCAGATGGGGTTCACAAGGGGACCCTTGCACCTGTTCCCACACCCACTCACTACCAGCTGTGATCTAGCCCATTTTATTATATCTGGCAACTGTAATGACAGCAGTGGGACCTGTGGTTCTGGTCCAAAACGTACAGAAGTCAATGGGAATTTCAATGGAATTTGGTTCAGGCCTTAAGTCATTAAAATTATTTGTAGCAATGTAAGTTTAGACACCACTTTAGACACATTCCCTGCCTTGAAGAAATTTAGAGAAGGAACTACAGTTAAACCTTGTGGTTGTGTGTGGAGGGGGGACAGGGGGGGAATTGTTTAATTTTACTACTAAAAGGGGCTGGTTAGCAATATTTTGACATAGAAAGCACAAGTTGATGTGTCCTCTGTCTGCTCCTGGAGTTTCCATGATAAAACAATTTATATGTAACAAGGCGACACCATCCCTCTGCTACCAGATAACAATTGCAACCCTCAGCAAACAGCCAAACAGCCAAACACAACAGTGACTGCACAACACTGACTAGTAATGGTTCTGCAGCTGACAGGACATGTCCTTTCTTTAGAAGTAGGAATCAGTAACTCCACCCGTTGGTCCTCCCTTTACATGCGTTTAGTCGAGCTGTCTGTCAGCGGAGAAAGAGAGAGAGAGAGAGAGAAAGAGTGTAAGCATCCTTGGGGGAAAAAAATTGTATTTGAGTTACTCTCTGCATGTGCAACTTTTAAAGATACAATGTGATAGGAAACAGTGTGAGTCTGTAATACACTGAAGACAGAACCACTGCAACCGAGCGCTGTGCCAAATAAAGTGGAAAAAATGCTGTCAAAGATATGGCTCTGCATGGTTCCATATTATTTCCAGCTAGCTTACTCCAGTTTATCCAGGAGCCCTCTTCAAGCTGCAACAAGTAACCTATCACCTGCTACGGGAAAGCAAACATCAGCTGAGAATACATTGCCGCCTATATTCTCTCAGCACCGGGAAAGGTGTTTTTTGTTTGTTTTCATTTCATCTATCATTCACAACAAGTTGTTACCTTTCAAGTTGGATAAAGAGGGTATGCTTCTGTTAGTGGGCTTTCTGTAAACTCAGCCCACATGGGTCCTTGTCCCCAGAAGTACTCTAGCCTACCCACACAGTCAAGGCACACTGAGCAGGCATTTGTTTGCACTAAATTGGAGATGCCAAAACCACCTTGTCAGTGCAAATGTTTACACATTTTCTTCGCGTACGTTCAGTAACCCAGGGATCACTCATCTCGCCAACTCACTGTCAGAGGCCAAGAGCTGAAGCCATGCTTGGTCAAAAGGCCAAGATAATAAAGGCTGTGAAATCCCAAAATAGACAGTTGACAGTCACCGAATCCACTGTGGGTATCACTGTATGAGGATGTGTCACAGCAACAAAAACATAGTCACAGACATATGATGTATCCAACATTTGCTCAGCTATTGCTACGTCCAGGGTACCTGGGGGAACTGAGCAGTAAACTAACTCCTCCCGAAGAAAAGCACGGCTGAATTCCAAGCTAGAAAAGTGCACATAGCTAAATTAATGCTCCTGCAGCCAAGATCTATTATAGAAATACTAAGGTGGAGGAAGTTTCACTGACAGCTGGACATGGCATGATGACAGGGAATGGGGAAATCGTCCTGTATATTTGGCAAGTTTTTTTTTTTTGTCTCCACTTGTTTTGTCTGATCTTTTAGACTGTAAGCTCTCTGCAGCAGGGGTTGTCTTCTCTGCTGTGTGTGTACAGCACCTTGCACAGTGGGGCCTGACCCTGGTTGGGGCCTTTAGGAGCTACAAATAATTGACCAATACAAATAATTTACCTATTATACTCCATATTAAGGGGCCTGTCCTGCAAAACCTTACTCACATGAGTCGGGATTAAAGTTACATAGGTGTTCCTCCACTCAGCATCGCAATCCCCTCGGTAACCTGGTGCCCAGTGGAATTCTCTGTTCAGAGTTAGGTGTTCAGGCTCCCCAGGCAATACATGGGGAGAATAAGGTACCTAAGGAAGGGATCGTCAGAAGCTAGCAGGCTGAGCAGAGAGCGCTCTAAGCTAGTCAGGTGTGAAATGATGAAGGGAGTGGCTTAGGTACCTAAGGTACTCTTTCTAATGCAGATAGACAGACCTGCAGAGCTCTGTTTGAGCTAGCATGCTGAAAGAGACAGTGTAGCTGAGGGATAGCACAGTCAGCAGCTAGGACCAGCTGCCTGAGTACAAAGTCACCCGAATGCCCGTGGGTGGCAAGCCCGAGCCAGTGCCCTTACTCGAGCTTGTGTGTGTGTCTGTCTGCTAGTGCAGG